TGAACTGACTGGTACTTTGACGATACAACAGCTCTGAACTGACTGGTACTTTGACGATACAACAGCTCTGAACTGGCTGGTTCTTTGACGATACAACAGCTCTGAAGTGACTGGTTCTTTGATGATACTACAGCTCTGCTCCGTATCTGAGAAGAAAAAAAAACGTAATACGAAATTTGGGGTTTACTGTTGCAAAGAGATAAAGCACAAATTGTTGCAAACCTTGGTATCAAATGCACAAATGTACAGTTCTGTAAGAAAAGGGGAAAAAATAAAAGACCAACCCGCTCCACAATCACCCAGAATAGCTACTAAATGAATTTATTTCACCAGAAACATAACAGTTCTGCATTCAAGTGTTGAATTTGTTAAAAAAAAAAAAAAATTCCTGTAAAATTAGGGGTTTATATTGCCAAAAATTCAAAACCGAATTATATATTTTATGGAAATCTCTGTGCATTGCATATTTAGTTATATTGCATGACTGTTATAATATTTAATTATTTTAAATCAGCAGAGCACATTCCTTTGGGCAACAATCGCTCAGCGTTTGTGTAAAAACAACCAACGTTGCTACTCTATTAGTATTTTACAAAGTACCTTTTAGTTTACTGTGATTTTTACTCCATGCAAAAGGATGCAAACAGTACATTTAGTTCATTTTGATGAGCATTAAGATACTTTGTTTAAAGCCAGGTTATTAATGTATGTGCACTTATTTAAACATTTTCAGTCCAGTCAGATGACCTGACTGAAAATTGTTGGATTTTATACCTGGATTATTGAGCATGGACTTTGGCTTTTCAAACATTATTTTGATGCAATAATCTATTTTATTTGTGATTTTTGCACAGACAGGAACTGTTTCAGAGTAAATTACTTTATGTTTTAAATAATTTTGTGTCTTCTTGATAGATTTCAACACAGTTTTCTCAGATTAGAGACCAGAGAATGAATATATTTAAACTAAATGTTGGCTAAGTGCTTAACTCTTAAAGCACAGACTGATCAATAGTCCTTTTAATTTACCGTTTACACCTCCGATCATGACTCAAGTTAATAAAAATAATAAAAGTGACATTAAAAAAACAAAAAAAGAGGTTGTCCAGTCAGGATGCTAAACTCTAACTAGAATGTGAAGCCGCTCTCAGCCAAACAACATCCTGGTAAATGAGGTGCACAAAAACAAGAGCACTGTCAGCAGAGACCTTTACAGAGGGATGTACAGGGAGGTCGTTTGTGACAGATAAATGGGGAGAGAGGAGACAAAGTGTTGTAAATCCCGTTTTGTTTAATGTCTGAGGCACAGCTGCAGCTGAAGGCTGACAGCAGGAGCGCGGCTTATCAGCCGAAGTGCAGCGGCTGCACCGCTATCACTTCAAACGCTGAAAAAAGCTGCAACTCAAGGGCAGCCGCCCGCTCCATCCGGCTAATCAATTCCTGCAATAATGCTCCCATTCACGCCGGTTCCAGCAAGGACGAGCGTCGTCGTGATAAACA